TAATTTGTTGCGGTTATTATTCCAACGAAGACATGATTGTTGATGCGCAAAGACGTGATCGTTGAATTATGTTTCCATCCATATAGATTGTTTTCCACTGACAAAATTTTTGAATATTGTGTAAGGAATAAACATAGAAATGTAAAACATTATTGCGAATAACGACATAATTGAATGACAATAATAACACAATAATTAGATTTCTCGACATCGTAATGACTTCAATTGTTGCATCATTTTGTGCAGTGTGATTTAGGAAATCTTTAATTAATGATTGATTACTAGAAACTGAAAAAAAAGGTGCAAATACTATTGGGAAGATCGGCAAGACCTAATATGACTTTCCAGAGCTTGATTTCTTGAATCTATTGTCAGTCTGACAGTTGATAGATGAATCAAAATGTTTTGATAGGCTGATATTATGAGCCTTCATCAAGAAGCTAAATCACAGTTACGTTCGGATCGAATCACTTTACGTAACTGAGTGGTAATTTGATGGTCACTTTGTTAAGTATTCAAAAGCAGTGACCATTTGGAACCTACTGACGTTACTTTTGCATTATTTTCACAATTCAAAGTTGTACATATAGGATTATTAAAGATGCTATTTGTTTCGGTCACAGGCGTAGGTTCATTAATGCATGCATATCAATTGGCTGTAGAAACGTTTATCGATAGTGGAAATACGGAAGGATTAATAAATTAAGCAGCATAATGAACTTCACCGTCCCCTGTTCCATAAAGAAACTTTAAACAGGTGGGAATGGGCGGGATTTCATTTAAATTTTTGAATAGGAAGAACGAAGAGTAGTTCGAAAGCAATTCTACGGATCTAGTTTGGTCAATGCAATTCCACTAGTTACCTGACAGTACACTTTTGCAATGAGTGAGGATTCCTGCAAATTGTCATTACATTTAACTTGCTTTCTTGACTTCTTGATACGATCAATAATAGCACAACACTTGGGATTTCTCTTCATCCCATTACTGTCACAATGGGTATGGATGTTAGAACAGCAACCAATACTGGTAATTGTATCCTTTTGCCTTCTTTACTTTAATAAATCTAAACATATATTATTAGTATGATTCATTTATAACTAACAACCTATCCAAATGAACGTAGAATGGTGGACTGTACAAGTTAATTAAATCATGGATGACAAAATGTCACGTCGTCCTTTAACTTCTTACATGGATCCGCAAGATACCGTAAAAATTCGTTCGATTTTAGTTGTTAATATCCAACCAGACAATTTCTGACGTCAAAATGCCAACGTGTACATGTAGTTTTTTACGTCAGTTCCATCAGTTGCGAGCAAAAAGTTTATTAAAACAAATTTTGCAATGAACAGCAAATTTGAGGGATCATTTTTTCTGCACACTCATATCGTCATTCAATTTTAGGAGTGCTTTACGGACGGCTTACGATTACATTTTCGAACCGGAGGAGCCATTTCACGGACATATTTATGTGAAGGGATATTTTATGCATGAAAGCTGTCATTCAGATTATACGTGGAATCCAACTGTCAGCTCATTTTCTTTCAGTGTTTTCTACAGAAGTGACTGTCATGTGAAATGCGAAATAGAGGTAATAGTCAATTTAGACGGAACATTTAAAATATGACTACTGAGAATAAAGTAATATGAGTTCCAAAGGAGTTAAAATCTTCGCTTAAGTGCCTTTTGAATAGCTTAAAATGAAGTAATCTTCAAGAAAGCAGCATTAGACAAGCAATTTGTACAGTATATTGCAGAGAGAACCATCAGGTATCAGCTGTCACATAGTTGTCATCGTTCAACATCACTATTTATTTCTAACACAAGCGTATAGTGCATATAGTGCTAGCTGCTTCTATCAGAGTGGCTTCGACTTTAACATGGAAGTCGGGTAATGCAATTTCAAGTAGGGGTAAATATAGATCAGGAAGGTCTCAAAATTCTAAGTGTCAGCAGGATC